ATCAATATGTAATTCTATTTGCATGTTTATTTTACCCACAAGACAAGAATGCAGATCAAATCCAATGTTTTTACTGTATAATGTTTCCATGTGCTCCCTAATAACAGCAGAAGTACCCCCTGGGGTACACCTACCGCTGGCCGGGAAAGGCTCATATACAGTGTTTTTGTTTCTGGGATGTGTTAGAATAAAAAAAACAAAATGTCACACAGTCTATCAAACAGAGGTGTGGTTCCCCACCTTGATTCATGGTTTGCCTGCTAAATTTGAGGGGTAGAACAACAATCATCATCAGCCTAGCAAAGCAGGAACATTATGAATTATTAAATCCCATAAGAATCCCATAACAAGAACAAAGACATGTGGCTAACTAGTTTCAACTCGTTGACATAAGCAACCAGTGTTGAGGGGTTATAAGTGGCCACTGCTTGGTTTGAAAAGGGGTTGAAAGCCTTAAAAATGTGTTTAACATTGATGAATGCATATAAATGACGGGCATAAACAACTTGTATTAACCATTGATGTAGAGAGAAGACAAGTTAAGTAGTAGACCTCAGATAACTTGATTCACAGCAGCCAGATTACAATGCATCTTGACATTGTTGCTGTTCATTTTATGTAGGAGAGTACAGAGCTCGAACATCACATGTCTAGCTTTCTCTCTCCCTTCTTCTAATGACAGGCCCATGGTGTGGCTATGCATGCTGTGCTGGAGTAACACACCGCACACCCTTAAGCAGCTCTTTAATTAGCAGCAGGGTGAACTCGGAGGCATCAGTGAACGCATCACTTTTTCTGTATCAAGCGAACAGCATGCTCTAAAACAAAGATCCGGGGAAACTGCAGCAGCAGCTCTGCGCCTTCACAGATCTGCTGCAAACACAACACAACTTGCAGGCAGCTTTAACGCGCACTTGTTTAACAAACCAGAAGTAAAAGGAGCACTGTGAATGGATTTAAAGGCAGTTTGATTCCCACTGCAGTTCAACGTGTGTCTCTGCGTGAAAGCAGAGTGGGCTGCGATGCTTTAATGAGGCATGTCAATAATAAGAACAGCGCCCAAAAGAGCCGCTGAGGCCACTTCACAAAGTAAAAGACAGCCGGGGGAAACGGACACACAGGGTGGGAAAGACGAGGGAGAAACACAGCATTGTCTCGCTGCAATGTAACACACATAAACGCTTGCTGAGGAAAAGCGCAGCGAGCCGCAAAACATCGTGAATCCTCAACATTTAGCAGCAAACGCGGAGGAAGTGAAGCTACAAACACTGCTCAACACCAACATTTGCGCAAGAGAAGAAAGCTTTGACTAACCTGACGAGGCGAGGACACTTCTTCCACTAAAGCGCTGATGTCCAGAGTTTGTGTGTGAGTGTGTGTGAGTGTCACTCAGCGGTGTTTGCTCCCTCCCTCCCTCTCTCTGCCGTATAGAGATAGTGCTGATGTTTCCACTTCCTCTTTTCTTCTTCTGCCGTCTGCTGGCTGATGGTGATGCCAGACAGAGGATGCATGAAAACATGAGAGCCAGCTGCTCTCACTGAGTCACTGCCTAACGAGTGGTGACATTTATCAGATTTAAATAAAGATGTCAGGAGGCTACTTTGGCTTTTAGCAGCTCCGTAGTCAGTCAGCGAGCTTTGCTCCATAACGTTTCAGGCTACAAACTCAATCAGATTAGATCAGAGGGAAAAAACACTCAGGTTTATATTTTTGATTTCAGGATGATAGGACATGGTTAACATGTCCGCTTTAAAAAGCTGCATGTAATTGTGAATTTGTTGAGTCTTTTTTACTCGACTCATGTCTTCCATTCAGAAACAGGTGTGAGTCACCAGCCCCCTGAAGTTCAACCTGTAGGCACTTAATAAAACACACTGACACATGTTTGTTTAATTATATATATACTTTTTTTTTTTAGGTATGGTTCTTATTATTTCAAGATTAGTTATTTTCAGTGGTCATTGGCTACAAATCATTTTTCGGATGACTGTTATTTTCTAGAAAATTTAGGATTTGGGCAAATACATGTAGATCTCATACATTTAGACACAATCTACTAAATATGACAACATTAAAAGTCGATTAAATAGGGTTAATATTACAATGACAGTCTTCAGAAATGAACAATTAACATTTGTTTCTTTTAAATCTGTTTGTCAACAAACAAATGAACAAACGTGTTTCATTGTGTGAGATCCAAACATCTTCAACAGCCGTGTTGAAAGTACTGTACAAACTTAAACTGCTTTTTACCCAAACTTAAGCAAATGTCTTTTATTTTTCTTCCAAAAATCTGAGCACTTGTTTATATAGCAGATTAACTTTAAGTGTTCAAAAATTGTTAGATATGTGTTTACTGAGCTAACATATGAGGAACATTGTAAAATAGCACATTTTAGGATTGTACTTTAATAGTTTACATAATAGGCTATACGTTTAAAAAAAAACGGATGAGCTTTTTCGTGACTGCCTTTTAAGAATAGTGTATTCATATTGTTACACAATATTAGATTATATTGGTGAATAAAGCAGATGTACAACGTGCCATACACAGAGTGGCACAAAGAAGCAACTCCCTCCAATCTTGCAGCCAGAAGAGAAAGGCAAACATGAACAATGACTTTAATAATTCATGGTTATTGAGCGCTCTCTGGTCCCCACATATACACGGAGAACTGTTTGGCGGGTAGGATTATGACCTTCTAATGTTTCAATACGCCGGGAGCCTTTTTAATGTAGCACAGCAGTGGTCCTACACAGCATAATGGTGGAGTTTCATTCAATGTAATTGTAAAAGACAGGATAGAAGAGTTTATCGCAGAGCAGAGCAACACTGAGCCACATGAGGCCACTTCCCCTTAATTTTGTCAGGGATAACAGACTGTTTCTGATATTAAACTCAAAGTGTGCATTTATGAGTGTGGGGAATCTGGAGTGACACACACAGTAGAAATCTCTGTCTCTCTCTGAGAAAAGCAAAGGATTTAAACTTCTGTCTAAATAACAGCCTGTGGCCTTCATCAAATTGTTAATTGGATCAAGGGTGCAGGTCTCACTTGAAAAAGAGATCTATGATCTCAATGGGACAAATCTGGTTAAATAAAGGTTTGAAATGAAATGAAGGGCTGTATAAAAGCAAGGTTATCTGCATACAAAGAGATGTAGTTAAGATTCAGCATTCAACCTGACTTAAGTCACATATACTTACTTCAAATGGTTATATACTTTAACCCTGGAAGGTCACATTAGATAGGGAAAACACAGTTTAAATTGTGCATAAATCATTTCTAACCACTACACTGAAAAAATTGAAATGCTGACTTTAATTAAATGTCAACAGATTTCACATAACTGTATTAGGTTAGTTGAAAGCAATAATATTAAGGTTTAATTTAATATTATTTATTTCAACTAACCTTATACAGTTATGTGAAATTTGTTGACATAATACATTTAATCAAAGTCAACGGTTCAGCTTTTTCAGTGTACCTTTTTAGGGGGATTTCCAGCAAGAAACCAAACTCCTTTTTTTGTTGTTCTGTTCTCGTGATTTTGGAATAGAACTGAGTGAGTTTTGGTGACTTTTGCACCCCTGACTTTGGCTTCAGAGCTTTCAAGAGTACATCCATAGACTGTACATCAGAGGGCTCACAGAGGATATCATCGTTTTATCTGAGACAGCAAAGAGGCAGTGGAGTGGTTTTAAGCCATATGGACAATATATAAGTACTGCATGATGCATTAAATAAAGTGCAGCCTCACAATGCATCTCTGCAGCCATCAAATGCAGTCAATGTTTTTTCATCTCTCAAGTTAAACCTAAGACTTTCAGCTGGTTGTGTAACTCAATCTAGATTACAATACAGTTTCACTATATCTGCACATCTGCTGTGAAGACAACAGGACATGACTACAAAATAATTGGAACTGGCATCCTACTCATTTGGCAAACATGATTAATTATTCATGTGTTAGGCACAGGGCTCGGTTCATAAAGATTTAATTTACTAGTTTTTGGCAAATGTGTTTTGAGTCGTAACACAATCTGCAAAATGAGTCTGTCCTGGCACTCCGTCTGACCTGTCCCTGGTCCAAGAAGATAGAGTGCTTCAATAAAGACTCTCAGTTGACCAAATTCTCTCTACGTGAGGCGCAACCTCCCTCTGAGCAGCCTGTGACTGAATCTCATCTGGGAGATTCATTGTTCCACTCAGAAAGAGAGAAGTCAATGCAGAACAGACTGTTTCAATGACGCTGATTTATCTTAGGTTATTGGTCCAGGCGATGGACAGAGCCGCGAAGCAAAGATGAAAAGGAAGAGAGAATGAATAAGCGTTCAATCTGCAACTAAAATGCTCTCATGGCCTTATAATCTGTCACTCTTTGATAGAATTGCAATTTCACACTAACATACACTGCCTAGTGCCTACAGCATTTGAGCTGCTCGGAAAGCTTAATGCACACATCTAAATGGAAATCTAGTTTGCTTGTTCCCTGTAGGTCTACTGTAATTGTCTCTCTAGCAGGGTCATTAGGAAATGGGAATGTTTCAAGTTCGTTTCCACAGGGAGTTCTGCTCAAAAATGTGTTGCTCATGACGAAATGACACAAAAGGCTTCCTCAAATGTGGCCTAAAGGGCAAGTCTGCTGCAAAGTCCTTATAGAGAGCTGATGAGTTGAACACAGAGGGAGGGTCGCTGTGCATTGTGTAGATTGCAAAATGACTTTTGAGAAACACCCTCTGAAGTATCCTCAGACTGCTAGCAGGACAAGATCAAAAAAAAATGTTCTTCGCCTCTTGTAAATGAACTTTTCTTTTCTGAGGAAGGTCACGGCAGGACTACGCTGTGCACTTTTAATGATCAGACTTCGCCGTGTGGAGTTTCGCTGCACTTTCCTCAAAAGATCACCGTAAATATGAAAAAGATTCTCTTTCACATTCATTCAAGGCCAAAATGGTTAACATGTTTGCTTTTCTTAAGCCTGGAGCCGAGTAAACATTTGAGGGAGAGAGAGCCATCTTTATTCTCAGAATAAGGGAGCACATTCACATACATTCTTTTCCCATCGCTGTGGTTTTCTTTAGAGCAAATTAATGAGCATATTCCAACCACAAATCATTTCAAATATTTCTGTACAGTAACAAGCATTCAAACATTCTGGCTTGCGTGGAAGACAAATTCTAGCTGTACTCCAACGTTTCATTTAGACTTTTTTTTCCACCTCGGTGTTTAGCACACTCTACAATCAAAGTATTTAATACCAGGGAGATGGCAGGGATACAAAAATATGGTGGAAAATACAATCTCTTAATAACACACTGTATCTGCGGACACCGTAGATAGAAGAACATTATCTCGTACACCAGCGGGCTCATTTCATATCACTTAAGATTAATTACCCATGCAGCTAATGCTTTTTGACACACATATGCACCGTGGCACACGCTGCACACACTTCCTTAAGCAGCTGTGCCGTATGACCCCGTGCTGCACCATCCGTCGGAGAGGAGGTATAATGCGAGTCGTCATCCTGGGGAAGTCATGCACAGTGGACTTAGAAAAGGCTTAGAAACGTCTTCAGAGTGCGGAAAACTTCACTACTACGTAAGATCTACCATAGCAGCTACTTCATCCATGCTCTATGTTTAAAGCACACAGCGTACAAGTAAACAAGCCTGTTCCAAACACTCAATCTGAATCTGAAGAGTCACTGGTTTTGGACGACTTCTGCTTCTGTTTCTTTTTACTCTTCTTCTTGTCTTTTTTCTTTTTGTCCTTCCCCTTTTTTCTCTTCTTGCTGCGGTGTTTGTCTGATGAGGAGGAGGATGAGGATGAGGAAGAGGAGCTGTCTGAATTGGAGGAAGTGCTGTCCTGAAGCATCTGCTGCAGCTGCTGGATCCTAGAAACAGGAAAGGCAGGAGGAGATGAGATTTAAATAGAGTCAAATACAGAGAGAGAAACTGAACTGTGATGCAGACTCAGATGTTGGCAAGCTTCTAAAGCAGGGGTACTCAAATACAAATCTTAAAGGTCCAAAATAAATGTTTCAATAAGACAAAGGTCCGTTTATTACGGTCATTCAAACTTTTAAACAATTGCAACAAGATTCTTAACACGAGGTTGCAAAAACAAAAATAATCTGTATGCAGCAGTTTTCATTGTTATTGTTTCTGTGCTTGACCCCTCAGAGTCGCAGTGTAAGAGCTGCACAGTTATGAATAAAGGCAGCTGCACCCTCTTTCATTCAGCATTCCCATTATTGCTTTATAAATGTATTCCCCCCTTGTGTGTCCACTGAGGTTCGTCAGGCCCAACACATCTTCAACAAACTCCCCCTTTGCCTCATCATAAAAACTCACAAACACCAGCAACTGAGCATTGTCAGTGGTGTCAGTGGACTCACCCACAGCTAAGGAAATGCACTGTGCATTTTTTATTCCATCACAAAGCTGATGAATCAAATCACCAGCCAGTATTTATGTTCTTCTGGTTGCTGTGCAATCTGAGAGGGGATTTGCTTGATTTGACCTGTTATTTCCTCTTTTTGTTTGCCTTCAACATGGTCTCCATCACTTCAGTCATGCATTCTTTTATACTTCAGTTATTATCCAGTGGAGAGTCCTTACCTACTGGCCTAGTTAAATCAAAGTGATTACTTTTTTTTGGCTGGGCAGTGTAGTTTTAAACACCGTCTTATTTGACTTTCTCAGGAATTAAAACAGTTTTTTGGGGGCAGACCCCCTCAAAGAAAACAATATATTTACACACGTAAGGTCATCATCTTAATAGTTGTGTATGCTCATCCGTGAGCAGAGCATCAAGTTGACATGTCTATTACAGCTGAATGCGGCGATTACCATTTTGTTCAGCAAAACGCCTCACAAACGTATTAAGATCAACAGCTTTAGTGCGTTTTGATTCAATGCTGAGTACAGCCAAACTGACAGTCTCTTATCTGTCATTGTAGACCGCAAATACCTCATTCCTTCAGTGCTTGGGTCCGAATGCTTCTCGTTTTGCGCCGTCCAGTTAAAAATGAAATCGCCGCCAAATCGTATGTCCACGCTCGCGCCAGGACCGGGGGAGGGGTTACATGACGTGCATCTTGTGCTGCATTCACTTGCACTCGGACATTAGAGACTTTCTCTCATAAATGTCCGATGAGCCACAACTTTTCTTTCAAAACAAAGCTGCCAACTGGGGTGGCAGCTGGGGTGGCAAGGCCTATTTTTAGGGTGTCAGTTGCCACCCCGGTAGGTGAAACTAGGCTACTAGCTACAGTACAGATGGAACTAGATGAGCTGTTAACTCTCGCTCTGAATTTTTTTTGTTTTTGTTTTAATTCTCGCTCTGACTTAGACAGGTTGAAAGAGACACACACATTTTTCCCACCCGCAGTCCGCGAAGACCCGCCCTACTGTGCCTCTGATTCGCAGATTGTTTGGGGGGAAAAAACGCTGACTGGATGCTGAATGTGATTGGACCAAAGCGTTGACACACACAGGTGGAACACAGTGGAACAGTCAGACATGCAGAGCGCTGTTTGCAGTGGACATAGCGGAGAATTTTGACTCGTTGCGAATGCGTTGTGGCGATGTCTCACATATAATACAGAGAGATCATACATATGAAAAGTATAATTTGCTCAGAGTCCGGAGACAGTGCTGGTTCGGTCCGGATCCGGACCGGAGTCCGTAGTTTGAGGATGCCTGTTCTAAAGTGTCCTTCAGCAAGGCGTCCTAGTACCAGCATTTACGGACTGTCAGCCAAGTGTCTTACCAGTGTAACATATTTCCAGTGACTGCCAACAGTGGCCACGTACCCGTTAAACTGCAGGTGTGCGGAGGATTTTGACAGCACACCTGGATAATGAGGTCATCCTGCTGTGAAGCTTGAAGTTCAGATGGCTAAAATAGTTTGGATAACTTCTGTGCCACATTAAATTATGCTTAACTGAATCTATACATTCTGCTAACATTTGTCCAGCAAGGAGAGTAGTCAATATCAGAGTTGCTCAAACATGTGCTTCTTGTCAACAGCTTAAAAAGTTTGAGAACATCAACACATCACAAAATACGTGAGAAAGAGTCTCACTGTTTAGCTGAATGGAGAAAAGTACAGCATTGAAAGGCCACTGGAGGACATGCCCCTTAATCAGCTCAGAGAGGTGAGCTGGCACATGATGACATAGGGCTGTGCAATTAATCGTATTTTAATCGCAATTACGATTTTCGCCTGCCACAATTACGAAAACAACATAATTGAAAAAAATGATTATTTTGCTTTGCTAGGTTGTGACAGTGCACTAGAACATATTTGATCTAATTATTTTAGTCTAATTTATATATGTTTAGTAGCTTGTGGAAGTGCGCTCCAAAATATTTGTTGATCTTGTTTATTGGTATTTATTATTTTGATATTATTTATTTAAATGTATCATTTATTTAATTTATTTTTGTATTGGTTTTTCAGTTGAAATATACGTTCAGGGTAATCAACAGTTAAAAAGAGACTGTTCAAATTATCATTTGTTTTAAAGTTCAATAAATGGATGTTTTCAAAGTCAATGAATAATCGTATTTAATAATCGTGGTATGATTTTTGCCATAATCGAGCAGCCCTATGATGACATCAGAAATGTGAAAGTCATGAGGACATTGAGAAACTGTTAACTATTCAGCCATCAAAGGGTTTCTCTGATAAAAGGGTGGCATGCTCGTGAGAAGTGCCCATCAGAGCTCATTATGTTGATCTCTCAGAGCAGCAGGATCATCTGAGCACTTCGTGTTATGCTTCTCTTGGTAGTTTACCTCTAGGTCTCAAAGTGAACTCCATCTCCATCATAAAAGCACTTCATAGCCTATAGCTAAACTATAAAAGTCCCTTCTCCTCAGCTCCAGTACGGTGGATTTATGTATCCAAACTGTCAGCACTGATTTTATTAGAGACTAAGCGTTTCAGTCAGGCATCAATTACATTACAATAACACATCTAAAAGCAACAGGCTGCATTTACCCATAAAAAATACTTTATATATATATATATATATATATATATATATTGGCTTTGTTGTCTTCCTGTGGCTCCTTGACATCTCGTTATGTGTTTGATTATTTTTGATTAAGAGTGTGCACCGCAGATAAAATACAAATATAAATAATTGTAGTTAAGTAGTAGAGATGATATCATCAATGCAAAAACAAGTCACTTTGGGAAGGATACAAAAAACAAAAACAAGTATAAAAGAGTAAAATACAAAATGTCTTCTACCTTGAAAAATTGCAAGAAAAAACTTAAGTAGATGCAAGCTCTTGAATAAATAGCCTATATTTACAACTGCATCATTACACTTTCTGAGGAGAACTTACGGCACAATTCATGCAATTGGAAAAGCAAGCTGGACTTTCAGTATTTTTCCAAAGAAGATGCCATAATTACTGCAGCATACACACGCTACCCAGACTTCACAACGCCACTGACCTTTAAATAACCTTTTTGTAACACACACACACACACACACACACACACACACACACACACACACACACACACACACACACACACACACACACACACACACACACACACACACACACACACACACACACACACACACACACACACACACACACACACACACACACACACACACACACACACAGACAGACAGACAGACAGAGAGAGAGAACCAGCCACCATGAGAGGATTTCCAGGTCAGCTGAGATTGTCCCACTCTGCTGTGATACAACAGTTAAAAAAACTAAAACCTGCAAGTTCTCAAGTGTGTGTGATCCAACTGTCAGAGCAGCCGAAAACATCTTGTCTGTCCTTTAAACAAATCTGACTCTTAATTATGGAAATTACAGCAAATGATGTGAGCAACCTTCATGATTCAAAAGATGAGTGCATGTACCTGGTTTCTTTTTCATTCCTTTTGTTTTCCCGAATGAGGTCGTACATTGGATCTTCATGAGCCTAAAACACCAAAATGCAATCTGTCACTTTAAAGAAAACACACCTACTTACAATAACAGTTGCTATGTATTCACATTTAGTCCATTCAATTTCCCCTCAACACATTTCATACATTGTACTGGATTTAGTGTTATGTCAGCAATTTTAAAAACCTCACCGTGACAACGCGAGGCATGAAAATATGACACAGTTGCATTTATGGTAATGGTTAGAGAGGCTGTGTGTTCCTGCAGTAGATCATGCTAAACAGGCCTATTGGAACCAGCAGTGGGAAGGAATCTGCTGCCCACATGTTTCCTCAGTGTAAACTAAATACGGCCCAAATCTGTTGTTACCTCAGCTCTCAGACGCTTGTCTCTGTCACAGCTCCTTAACCTACAACAACCCAACCTACATTCTTTGTCTGTGGACCATTTCTTCCATAAATAACTCAAGTTAATAAGCAGTTCACAAACTCACCACTCTGAACTGCTCTAGTTTCTGGTTTCCTTTGATGAAGAACGGACACTCCTTATCTCCTGTCCTGTGTCCGTAACGCTTGCATCTCCAACCTGCAGCAAAGGAAACACATCTGAGAGTTAATAGTGGGACAGTTGGACAGACGTGACAGGTACAACTCTGCAATATTATAGATTCAATATCGGCATGAAAGTACATTCTTTACCTTAGGAACATAATCTTACCTTATATACCCAAAGTCACAATCACATCAGAGTATACTTAAAAGGGCACTGTTATGCTTTTTGGGGTTTTCCAATATGTGTTATTTTGGTTTTGTGCATGTAAATGCTCGGCAAAGGCTAACATCCCATAGTTCCTTTGACAGGGAGTGTCTCTCCCACACTCCCCCCACCGTGACTGACACACCTCCATTGGACTCCTTTGTTTACTTCCATAACATAGCATTACACAGTGTATGTGATAGATAGGCTAAGAGGCAGGATCTCTAGGTGTTTGACCAATCATAACAGAGCAAGCGAGCTAACCAATCAGAGCAGACAAGGCTCTGGTTTCAGACAGAGGGTGAAATGAGGTGCTGCAGCACAGGCAGTATGAGAAAAATAAAGACCTTTTTGAACATTAGAGCATGCAGACATGTCACAGTAGAGGCACAAAATACAAATATGAACATTTTAGGACCTCTTTCATTGTCATATACAGTGGGGCAAAACATTATTTAGTCAGCCACCAATTGTGCAAGTTCTCCCACTTAAAAAGATGAGAGGCCTGTAATTTTCATCCTTGGTACACTTCAACTATGAGAGACAGAATGGGGGGAAAGAATCCAGGAAATCACATTGTAGGATTTTTAATGAATTAATTGGTAAATTCCTCGGTAAAATAAGTATTTGGTCACCTACAAACAAACAAGATTTCTGGCTCTCACAGACCTGTAACTTCTTCTTTAAGAGCCTCCTCTGTCCTCCACTCGTTAACTGTATTAATGGCACCTGTTTGAACTCGTTATCAGTATAAAAGACACCTGTCCACAACCTCAAACAGTCACACTCCAAACTCCACTATGGCCAAGACCAAAGAGCTGTCAAAGGACACCAGAAACAAAATTGTAGACCTGCACCAGGCTGGGAAGACTGAATCTGCAATAGGTAAGCAGCTTGGTGTGAAGAAATCAACTGTGGGAGCAGTTATTAGAAAATGGAAGACATACAAGACCACTGATAATCTCCCTCGATCTGGGGCTCCACGCAAGATCTCACCCCGTGGGGTCAAAATGATCACAAGAACGGTGAGCAAAGATCCCAGAACCACACGGGGGGACCTAGTCAATGACCTGCAGAGAGCTGGGACCAAAGTAACAAAGGCTACCATCAGTAACACACTACGCCGCCAGGGACTCAAATCCTGCAGTGCCAGACGTGTCCCCCTGCTTAAGCCAGTACATGTCCAGGCCCGTCTGAAGTTTGCTAGAGAGCATTTAGAATGATCCAGAAGAGGATTGGGAGAATGTCATGTGGTCAGATGAAACCAAAATAGAACTTTTTGGTAAAAACTCAACTAGACGTGTTTGGAGGAGAAAGAATGCTGAGTTGCATCCAAAGAACACCATACCTACTGTGAAACATGGGGGTGGAAACATCATGCTTTGGGGCTGTTTTTCTGCAAAGGGACCAGGACGACTGATCCGTGTAAAGGAAAGAATGAATAGGGCCATGTATCGTGAGATTTTGAGTGACAACCTCCTTCCATCAGCAAGGGCATTGAAGATGAAATGTGGCTGGGTCTTTCAGCATGACAATAATCCCAAACACACCGCCCGGGCAACGAAGGAGTGGCTTCGTAAGAAGCATTTCTAGGTCCTGGAGTGGCCTAGCCAGTCTCCAGATCTCAACCCCATAGAAAATCTTTGGAGGGAGTTGAAAGTCTGTGTTGCCCAGCGACAGCCCCAAAACATCACAGAGGAGATCTGCATGGAGGAATGGGCCAAAATACCAGCAACAGTGTGTGAAAACCTTGTGAAGACTTACAGAAAACGTTTGACCTCTGTCATTGCCAACAAAGGGTATATAACAAAGTATTGAGATTAACTTTTGTTATTGACCAAATACTTATTTTCCACCATAATTTGCAAATAAATTCTTTAAAAATCAGACAATGTGATTTTCTGGATTTCTTTTCTTCTCATTTTGTCTCTCATAGTTGAAGTGCACCTAGGATGAAAATTACAGGCCTCTCTCATCTTTTTAAGTGGGAGAACTTGCACAATTGGTGGCTGACTAAATACTTGTTTGCCCCACTGTACATACCAAAAACAAATATATTCACATACATGTTATCACACGACTAAAAGCCTATATTTGATGACAACTGAACAAACTCAAGGAATAGAGGAAACTGTCTACTAAGAAAACTAAGATTTGCAGTTAAAGCTAAGAACGAAAGATATTAAGTTAACCTTGAGTTAAGATGTTATTAACTGTAGTTTCTTTCCTCCATGGGCCAAGAGAAAAACATTTATTTAGTGTTAGGAAAAGGAGTCACACACTCAAAATTGCCCTGCTCATGTACTTGACATTTATGCCTCATTATAAAAGAGGAACCTCCTCAAACTAATCAGAAATCTTCACTTTGTGGCTTCACTGAAAACAAGAGTTTGTGTCAAAATCTCACACTGTTTGAATGTATAGCTGTTATGAATAACTTGAGTCTTAAAGTGAGACCACACAAAGTATCTGTTTACGTTTGTTTCACGTCCATATCATTCAAAGCGGCGTCTCTCTATCCCTTTAAGCCAAATGACATATTCAAACATTTTCTCAAAGGATTAAGCAGAGCGACCGATTCTGCAGAAAAGTCTTTGTCAGAAGGTAATCTCCACCAACACCAGTATTAATCTGTTGCAATAGACAAACAAAAGGCATGGTGTTAATTGACAAGTTCTTGTGGTTAAATTTTTCCGCCATCAAAACCACTGCCACACACATGATGGATGTTTGCTCCCACCTACAGTTCATACACTTTAGGTGCTGCTGGTACTTCTAAAGCCAATATGAGGGAATCTGTCAACATAGGTTAAGAGCTTTAAAGAGAGTTTTCATCCTAATTTTATGAATGTGAGTGCATGTTTGGACCTGTGAGCAGCAACTCTTTCTTGAGCTCAAGAACAACATTTAAGATGAAAAGTTATTATTTAAACTGTGATCAAAACCGTTCAACCAACAACACTGTCGGATAGGAATTATAAGATGAGATGTTTAAAAAGCTCAAAAGACGAATGTAAATAGTCATCAGAGTCAGATCAGTCTGTATATTTGTTATAATTTAACAATTTAATTGAATGAATGGCAATTTCTTGCTATTAAATATGTCTTTCATGAATAAATGACAGGCAATAGTAGATAACTGTGCAACTGTTATCACAGACAACAAGAGATTCCAACACTCAATGTTACTTAAAATCTTCTTGATGTGTAGGTTATTGAATCGCAAGCTAAAGAAGGTTTTGTAAAGTGTATTTCTTATTCAAAGTGGTGTCATGAAGAGCTTACAGTTCTAATTTTTTAATAATAAAGATGTATTTGTATTTCCCTTGCAGAAATAAAGAAAAACACAGAACTGGCCATAATTGTTGTTCTAAACGTTGTTGTCGGTTGAGAATCGTGCAACTGATGCATTCCTAAAAACAACAAACAGTGCATATATCTCTCTCAAAGCAAACTTCAGTTATCAGTGAATGAGTGCTAAGTGTACTCACACTGCATCACCTTCACCTCCCTCCCCAGGGGCATCCACAGCCCCCTGGTGGGCGCGTGGGCCAGGAAGCTCCTGGCTGCTTCATTTCCGGGTTCAGCAGGAATACAGTCCTCTGGTTTGTCCTCGTGCTCCTGCAACAGTAACTTTCACCTTTGGGCATTTCTTTGAGTAAATGATAACAAAATGTGTAAAATCCCAACAGCTATTTTTCTTTAAAGCTTCATTACTAAATGTAACGTTACCTTTATGAGTCCTGGTGGAGGCTTCTCATAGCTGCATGAAGAAGATAATACTGATGTTATTCTTGCAGACTATTTCAAGCTCAGCTGTCTTTTCCATAACAAGATACCACAAGTACAACCAAACATTAACCGGAAGAGCGTAAGAGTAAATTATTATGGATGAGCTACAACAGATAACTTATCAATTGCATTTATAATTCATGCATAAGTTTGGACCCTGAAGCAGAAAAGCTCTCAGTAGTCTTACTCACAACGTCTCAAGGTGTTTCAGTTGTTTCACTTCTTGGGTGAGTTTTTTCGTGTGTGTTTTGAGTTTCTCCAAATCCTGTTTGGATGACTTGTGTCTCTTGTGCTCTCGTCGGTCCTCCTTCTCTCTTCTTCGCTTTTTGTCCGACATTGCCCTGATATAGACCCCCGAACAATCATTTACTTATAAATTATGCTGCATTAAACGATAGTTTGTCAGCTACACAGTGAGAGACATCGAGCAGCGTGCTAACAGCGGCTAACCAGCAGACATTTCTCTGCTGCTGTCCGACTTCCTGTGCAGCAGGCCGGTTTGTTAAAGTCCAGCGCCACCTGCAGGACACGTGGAGTACCGCTGTGGTAAAAATGGCGTTTCCCTCTCTAGAAAAACTCAAGTTTATTTCATTGTGACACAAAAAACATGTTATTCTTATTTTCGTCAAAAAAAACGTTAGGTACTTGTGGGTTATCTTTCGCCACTTTTTTAGTTTTTTTCAGACTCTCTAAATACGCACTTTAATGTTCAGACTCTCTAAATAACCCTAACCCTCACCCATAGGATTCATGTTTGTTATTTTGAGAAATTAAAAAGTTAATGTGGAGGAGTCAGTTACCCGCTATTAAAAAGTGGCAACAGATAACCCACAAGTAGGCCTACCTAACTTTATTTATAGCAAGTTAGTACATTAGTGACTAACACAATGATGTTCTCAAGGTCAGCTGTCCAAAACAGAATCACACCTCCAAAAATCATCATAAAGGAAATAGTAGTGAAGTAGGCTAGTAGTTGTTGAATTTAGAGAGCAAAATATAAATAAATAACCAAACGACGTAAAAGTAGTATACAAGAACAACAAATTAGGCGGGTAAAATAAACATTAGGGTTGGCAAATAGTTACTTTAGAGCACTAAAATAAACATTTCTATTCACATGTCTTAGCTTTCATTCATTAAAGGTAGGGTAGGTAATTCACTTCAGAAACTCTTTTTGTTATATTCTATGGAATATAACAAAAAGTGTTTTTAATACATTAAATGCTTTGACAATAAATGCTTTGACCAATTATTAGCCGTCCCGGCTAAAATAACTGGATGGCCTACCTGCCTGTCAGCCTTCCATCTCGTGCCCTCATTGGTCATGTGCAGGAGAGGCTCTGTATGTCTGAAGGAAAGGACTGATTTTTTCTAGCGCACTCAAGCTGGTTTCTCCATTCTTACCTACCCTACCTTTAAGTAACAGTAGATTTACTCAAGAAGTGTACTGTATAATATTGAGGTACTTGTACTTGAACATTATAATTTGTGGCCATTTACTATATTCCAATATAGTTTATAGTTACATTTATTTTATAACTTTATGTACTCATGACTTTGCAGATTAATAATAGAAAATATAATCAATAAGAACAACAATCATTTTTATTATGGCTAAAATGACTTGATCCATTGGTTAATTCACAAATAACTTGCCAGTATATATATAGTATAGTATAATTTAGTATATATTTATTAATGATGTACAAGTCATGTTTTGCTTGTACTTTCATTAGATTTATATGTAAATTGTTCTACTTTAATTTACGTTTGTATGTTTTTCTTTTACATATTTTGCACAATCATTTTCTTGGATAGTAATATAGATCTATCCTAAGTGTAAAGACCCCCCCATATACCCCAAGTACATGCAGCTGGATTAATTATAGCCTTACATCTATATCTGCAGACATTAATATAAACTCTAAGACTGAAGCTGCAGTAAAATACATTTTCTAGCACTCATTTCACAGAAAATTGGAAAAGGTTTCAGACTAAGATGGTTTTATTTGAGTGATTCACAGTGTAGGTGGAATACAAATGTGAGGTATTTCAGGATTCAAACACATGTACATTCAACAGCTAATGGAAAAGGTAATCAGGCAGTACGACAAAAGAAGATGTATCCAAATCCCTGCTCTTTACAAAAAGATGAAAAGAGTAACCTTTCAAAAACATGTAACCAAAGAAAATATTAAAATAAAATGTTAAGCATTGACAATACTGATTGTCTATAAGTCTCTCTGTACAGGTTAAGGCAGAGTGCCTATTCAATGTAAACAGCAAGTCCCATGTCAGATGATAATTACAAACATCTTCCCTGGTGACTGTGCACAGTTCCTATCATGTCATGCATTTGCATTGACATATACATTTGTCAAGTAAATACTTAACATCTCCCCACTGGATACAAAAGAAAGAAAGTAAATACATTCAAATACAAAAGATTAGACATCAAGTAAACATGAATACAAAACAGTTTTATATATATGTATTATATACATATTTCATTGAGAAAAAAAAAAGATATTGGCATGTAAACCAGCTTTCCATGCCAAACTCCACCCACAGACCACAGTTCCTGTGGGTTTTAAGCTATTTGATAAATACTGAATAATTCCTCAAACATTGCCCTTAAAATAACATCCCCAGTTTAGGAGATTTTAAGAGTCTTGTGCTGAGTTAGAATAAAAGCATTCTCCTCCAACTGGCTCAGCAGTAACCCTGATGTAAAGCTGAAATAGCCAGCCAGAGCTCTCAGTTGATACATTCAGGATACCAGGAGTGCCATTCCAAACAGCCCGGCAATAGTTGTGTAGGTGGGCAGACTGTAACCCTTCACACACCGGCTCGGAAAATAAAGTTTCCCTTTAGCCTTTGGCGTTAACGGGTTACAAACGTGGGTCTTACCCCATGTTTTTTCAAGAGTCGACAAAAAAGACAAAAGAGACGCTCAGAGTGAGGAGAGAAAATCTTTCAAGCCCCCCTTCTTCTTGTCCGGGTTGTCTTCTCGCATGAGTATCTTGCTGAGACGCTGCACAACCCAATTCTTAGGTTTAGAGGGAGTCTTGGAGGCAGATGAGCCTGACCCTGAGGTGTTAGAGGAGCTGGAAGACCTGGAGAGAGAAGGAGAAAGTTGGGAAAGGGAGAGGAGAGAAGAGGTAAATTAGAGAAATCTGAGATTTTGTTGGTCGGCAGGAAAAGTTAAAAGTGTGCGTCAACAAGTATATGATCTGGCAAGCATGGATACCAGCACGTAGCACCCTTACAGCTAGCTGCAGTTCTCTTAATGAAACATAATCATTCAAAAAGCTAATGGGCCTGACACAGCATCCTCTCGAATGTCTGTGACACCTAACAAGTTTAGTCGAGGAAGGTTATATCCTGAACTTTAGCTCTGAGGATATTAATAAGATCCACCTTAAAATAACTTACCTAGGTGTGTGAACAGGTGTCTTGTCTTTGCCGGGAGTCTTGGGGGTAGGCATGTTGGCTCTGTGGGTAGACTGGGGGGTCTTGTATTTGCCCACGCTCCCTGGCGTGCTGTGGGTCTTCGCGAGGCCAGATAAAAACTCCCTGTTCATTCCTCTGTGTCTGGACGTTTGATTACAAGTGTGGCAGGTTGCCATCTGGGGAGAGAAAAGGAACATATTCATGAATACAAATTCCTCTCAAATATAATAAGGTTGCCAGGTGAAGGCATATCAGCTGTTGTTGTATGATAGCAGTTTATCTACCAACTGATGTCATTCTAAGTGAGGGAAGATAAAGCGTTTGTCATTTTTTATTTTTCATCAAACCCAGTACAGCCACATCTATCTGTATTTCTGTGGGACACACAAGAGTTTATTGCGACTTAGTCTGGATTGATCGCAGCAACAGAAAGCCTTCAGGAACACAGAGAGCCGGGGAAGGGTCTGCAGTCAGAGGGGCTTCTTCACCCCGGGACAATGAGCAGCCTAAAGTCTCACAGACATCAGACACATAGGAATAGTTCACTGTGGGGTCCATGAAGCAAATTCACGACGTGTAACAATTTAGAAAATGATTTGCTTGACAGCTGAGGCTCTTCCCATTGGCCCTGCCAATCATCCCCAAAATTATCTTACCCTTCAATGTTTGTACAGATATGAAAATAGCTGGATTAGTTCAAGCGGGATGGGAAACATTTACTTAGCCTTTGAGAGGGTGGGTGGGGGGCTGTTGCCAGGCAGTTTCACCTATTCAAGCTATAGGTACTTTAACAGCTGTCAGCCAACTTTTTTAATTTAAGTTGCGATAGAGTGGTGCATTTTTTGCTAAAATTAGCAAAAAATGCACCGCAAACAATTATCATTATGAAGTTAATTTTGATTGCCGAGTGTAATGGATAGTGAATGATAGATTGGTTCCTTCACTATGCATTTCTAACAAAACCAGATACCAGGAAAAGGAAGGCTGAATTCATGGCACAAAACCCTAAAAACAAAAAACTATTTCCTGCAAAATGTTTCCTACTCTTTTCAAATAATCAAATGAATACAAGCTCCAAAAGTAGGTAAACAAGAGAAGAGCAGTGGATAGCGATTACTCTGAGCAGGAAAGTATTTCTTGCTCTTTTTGAATCATGTCTCTCTGCAGCGGCGCCAACATGGGGGAAAGCTGAAAAGTTGTCTGTTGCAACTTTAATCTCTACAAACCAATTTTTTTACATGAATTACTTTAGCACGCCAGTCACACTTAACTGCGCCTTGCACGACACATTCCAAGCAATTTCCTAACACAGATTACACAAGACCCTATATTTGGCGAAGAGCTCAGACACTTATGAGAGTGACGAGACCCAGCTGCTCATGAGACCCTCATGCTTAAAGACAGTAATTGGCATTCCAGACTCCTGACTAACCCAATAAAAAAAAGAGCGTGCATGTAGCTACAATATGACTGAGACAAATTAAAGAAAATCTAAAAACATTATAAAAACAGCAGCTATGGTTATTGCCACAAAGACTCCTTTACTTTCAGCCACAGATTTACAACTAAGACGCAACTATAAGATCAAGCGACAATAACAACTAGGAGGCAATCAAATCTTCTCAGTGATGAGCGCGAGTGCAAGCTACAGGGCTGCAGAATATTAAACAAACTCTAGCAAATAACAAAGCTCTTGAAAAAGTGTCCTTTCCTCACTGTAGAAAAATGCAGGACAAAGTGTTAATGGCTCTTCTGCAACTCTGTAACCTGTAGAAACTTAAATCCCACTTTTGACACAAGCCCTCCAAAGTTGCACAAGATTCAAAACAGGGCAAAACAGACCAAGAGGTCAGCAAGTGTGAGCCAAGCTGTTGACAGCCCTGAATGCTGAAGAGATGGAAAACTCACCGACACGAAGGTAGCCATTTCAGATTCTGACAGGTGTCTGAGAGTTGGGTTTCTATGAAGCGGGAGTAATGAGTTCCTCAGTCTTTCTATTCGAACTTGTGTGAAGTGTGCACTAAACGAGCAT